ACCCACAACGAACCAAAATATTCCAAAACGACCAAAAACGCCTTTGATAGTTTTTAAACACTGTCTTGGATTGTCTTGGTTGACTAAACTCATCTCCAGGGCTCCCCGACAAAATAAAATAACTGGAAAACAAAATAACTGGATTCTGATTGGACGAGAGCAGTACTCCCTAAGAGAACCTATTGCTATTTACTTTTCTTTCCGAAGTTGACCCGAAGTCTTCTGACGAATTTTGAAGTTGATCCGAACGCTAACGAAAATTTCCGATGTCAATTCAAAGACTTTTGGAGTTGAACCGAAGTTTTCCGAAGATTTTCCAATGTCAGCCCGAACACTTAGGAAGGTTTCGGATGTTTACCTGGAGTATTCTGAAGACGAACCAAGGAGGAATTTTGTTGAGGTCGAGCGAATTCCTATACTTATTTTTTTTCGTGAGCCTCGAAGCAGGAGGGGGGGTGGTGGTCAGCATGAGGAGGGGTGTATCTCCAATTATTCACGCTATGAAAATGTAGTGTAGTGTATTTTAGTTGAGAAAATGCCTTGTCTTAAAATGAGTCTGCAAAGACATACCAGCGATTTGTTTTTTCACGTGATCTGCTGTTTCCTCCTCCTCCTTGTCCCCCGAGGAGACTTCAGACTTTACGACTTCCTGAGGCAAAGGGAAGAGCCACGTGACTCCACGTGACGAAATGTTGCGTTACAATTACAATTTGGGAGAAAATACAGATCCAATCATTACCACGCATGCATGCGTAGTCGATGATGGCGGCCTCACAGGAAGACCAAGAACATATCTCAAGTATGGATACTTTATGTTTGTGTTTTCATATGACCACTCTGTAGCTTGTTACCTTTTTTGTAACTTTGAGCTAAATAGAACTTTATTTAAGAAAAGCCAATTCTACTCCTTTGATGCTGATAAACAGTCCTCTCACGGCTTGCTTCATTCATTTCTATTTCTTATTTTGTAGAAGTCATTATTTCATGTGATTCATCTGACACAGAAAATGGTGAGTGACTTGGGCTAGAACTATAATCTTTACTATAATCATTAATGAAATTTTTCACTTCGCAAAGTACAGATTTTTCACTTAGCAAAGTAGAGATTTCGCAGAGTACAATTTTGCAAATTACAATAAATAAACATGCTTCCCTTATGTATTTGCAGATCTTCCACAGTATCTATCGTCAGCAAGGCCACCAAAGCTGGAGGAAAGAGATGCTGTTCATAAGGTAAAACTTCATTTGTAGGGAAATTCTCAAATGTTGTTTGTGTGATTGTAAGGGCAAGAATATGAAGGTGCTATTGCTTCCATTTTCACTGTGGGAGACGCATGGATTTTCACCGACTCAAAGCCAGCCATGAAGTTACGTTTATTTGATATAAGCAACTGGAAGCTAAACCTCAGAAATCGTTTTATCCATTTTGTATGGCTGGTCATTTTAGCAAGGGACAAATTTTATACCGTTAAATATCTGGTTGTGCCACAGTTTAATTTAATAGGGCAAAGGTCGCACTTTTTCCATGATGTCGCAGCATTCTGCCATAGGGGGGTCGAGGGGGCGCACATTTGCAAAATATCTTCGTTCTCGATTCCGTGTCATGTACAGTTTGTACCAATGATTACTTCAAACAGCAACTCCGAGCTCTAAAAGCAACATTTCATCAGCTTAAGAAACAAGCTGACTAATTTGGACCTTAGAAGTCTGCACACCAGGCGTCTTTGCACCATTGCGAAACTAATGATGGATGATAAATGATCCCGGTGTTTCAGGTTTGATTTAATTTTTTTCCATTTAAATTTTTTGACTGGAGTTTTTTTACCAATTCCCATTTAAGTCACTTGGCATGGAAGATATGGCCTGCTTTGGGGCAGAACACCAGTACGGTTTCCTTGACCACATGTCTACTCATGACACAAAGGTCGCACATGTCGCGCAGAATTTGTGTGGTAAACATAGGTGCTAAATGGGACCTCTGCTCAATGAGAGTTATCTTTCTGATCTGAGCGTAACGGAAATTATAGCCAAAATTCTAAGTACTGCTGAGGGAAACAGTTTTTTTTCGTTAAAAAATTGAGTCCACTTTACGAAACAGCAACCAGAGGGCGTTATCGTGCTGTGATCTGAAATAAGAACAAACAGGGTTTAGAAAGCCCGTTTCCGGTAGTTAGGTAATCTGGCGGAAAACGGACTTTTCTCGCTTGCAGCACACCATTTTTTACCGACCAGTTTTCTGGTCGGCGAGGGACCGCAATGGGTTGAGATGTAAGAGAAGCTATAAACGCGGGTCTAACAAAGCTTGGCTTCAAGTAAATTCGACGAGCACAGTTTTCACAGACAATTTAGTCGATCAGCTTTCTTTGTCCAGCCTCGCACCAACGAAAAATTCTCAGTTCATGCAAGCTNGGTAAAAACCCAGAGTTCCCTGGGCCCAGCTTTTGGCACTTTCGCAAAACCAGGAAATGTTATCGAAGATTTGCTGGCGAGCTTGTGATTAAGAAGCCAGAGCTGCTCAGAATTAAAAAGATTGGCCATGACTTAGATAAAGCACTATCACAAGGACTATGTGACATTTTTACAGATGCCAAGAAGCTTTGGTGCACTCAGCACATGCAAGAGCACGATCTCCAAAAGCTCAAATCTCTTGGGTGTAACCAACAGTCTCAGTCGAGGGTGATGGCTGATATATACGGAACGCAAGATGATGTTCTTCTACAGAATGGTTTAGCAGACGCTGAGGACGAATGTGATTTTGACGCTAAACTGGAAAGTTTAAAGCCTGTGTGGAAAAGAAATAGCCCCTGGTTTCCATCATTGGTTCAACAGCAGCCGATCGAAGCTGTTCAAAGATTGCCTCGTTCTCTCAGCAAGGGAAAGTCTGAGCATTGAAGGCAGATTTTACACAAATGGGCTCGAATTAAAGCACAAGCTTCAAAAGAAGAGAATGGCCGAAGAGGATGTCCCTAAAGAGGTGGCAGCCGTTACTTCCCAACTGGTCACGTGGGCAGAGGACTTCTACTTGGAAGAAGAGAGGGCTATACAAGGTCTCGGAAAGTACCGTCTTGCTGCCGGATATGACCGTTTTCAAGTAGATCCCGTAACGTGGAACAGATGGGGCCTAGCAAGGCAGGCTCAACATCTGGAAGCTTTCAGAGCCTTTGTACCACGCTCGCATGACACCTACGTCAAGGCGAAGTCTGCTGGTCTGAAAGTGACTCCAAATGCGACGAAAAGAAGAACGCAGTTACCTGAACCGGAATTATTTACGGACCGCATTTCACCGCCACCTTGCAAGAAGGTAGCTGTTTCACCGTTGGTCATCTCTAAAGTTGGCAAAGAAGCCGAATGGACGGTAAATATTTAGATACGACATAGACATAAAAACGTAATGCTATTGATAGTACCCCTTTAGATAGAAAGCAATCATAAAGTTAGTAACGCTGTCAAGTTAAAGTGTGATTCTGTGAAAACTGACCAAATTCCGAGTTTTACAGGTTGTTGAAACTGGAGAAAACATCAATGTGTCTCAGTCGACCGTGTTTTGTTTCATCAACTTGATTAATAAAATAAAAGCGAAATTTTAATAACTACAGTCACATACTATTTATTGAAATATTGCAACAGTTATATTGTGGAGCTAAGGTGACTCATTCCATTATTGATGGTCTCAATGTCTTTTGTTTTTGTTTTTCTTTGTGTTTCATTGTTTAGGTAAAACCAAANACGTGGAACAGATGGGGCCCAGCAAGGCAGGCTCAACATCTGGAAGCTTTCAGAGCCTTTGTACCACGCTTGTATGACACCTACGTCAAGGCGAAGTCTGCTGGTCTGAAAGCGACTCCAAATGCTACGAAAAGAAGAATGCATTTACCTGAACCAGAATTATTTACGGACCGCATTTCACCGCCAGCTTGCAAGAAGGTAGCTGTTTCACCGTTGGTCATTTCTAAAGTTGGCAAAGAAGCCAAATGGACGGTAAATATTTAGATACGACATAGACATAAAAATGTAAAGCTATTGATAGTACCCCTTTAGATAGAAAGTAATCATAAAGTTAGTAACGCTGTCAAGTTAAAGTGTGATTCTGTGAAAACTGACCAAATTCCGAGTTTTACAGGTTGTTGAAACTGGAGAAAACATCAATGTGTCTCAGTCGACCGTGTTTTGTTTTATCAACTTGATTAATAAAATAAAAGCGAAATTTTAATAACTACAGTCACATACCATTTATTGAAATATTGCAACAGTTATATTGTGGAGCTAAGGT